TGTCACTTGTGCTGCAATTAATCTCTTTTTATGACAGGGCTAGCATTCAGCGAGGTAGGCATGCTAATCTGTTCAACTGCAATGCCACATAAGCATTAAGGCAAGCACAGAAGATTGTAAGAAATTAAGTCAGGTCAAAGGAAGACAGAAATACTAAGCTTGACTTAGCTCATCATGTGCATTGTAAAAGAATAGGATATATGATTTAATGCAAACAGGACAGTAAAGAAATATGGGAGAATATAGTTCTTTCTCAGTTTGAAATTAATTTCTGCAATATAGCCCCTCCTGGTCTCGCCTGTACTGGTGTTTGGTAATGAGACAGTTTAAGTACGTTGCTTAAAAGTTCTGTTCTGGAAACTGGATGTGCAAAACCAATTTCTTCATGCTCCATACCTATAGAGTATAAATGCTCCATATCTACAGAGTATAAATACTCCCCCTTTGAAAATCACATATTCCCTGAATTAAAACATGCTTACAATTCTTGCAAAGTTTACCTTCAGCTGGATGATATCTTCGCCATCTAGGAACACTGCCATCTCCTTCCAGTTGAAGGAGGCTTTCCTACGATATCTACAAAGTGGTCCTTTAGGTAAATCTGGCAGCAAAGTATCCCATGAGCTTTGGTTGCCAGTGGCTTCTTTCAGTGTGGGTGCCATTTTTAGCTAAACTGCACCAAACAAGAAAAGATACATCACAAACTGAAGCACCACAGATGACTAATTTTTTAATAATAAAAAATCAAAAGGGTTGCTAATTAAATCCACAGACTTTTTCAAATGAATGTGTACAACAGTGGAGAGCCAACTAAAAGATTGCCCTTTTTTTAGTTTTCTAATTCACTTGGCTTGGTACAACCTAGGAAAAAAAAGCCTTTAACCAAATACAAATTAACTATATAGTCTTCCTTACTAAAATAAAAGCTAAACCTTGTCAAATAAGAAAAATATGAAACAGGGACACCACTGGTTAATACTGCATAATAAGAAAGAGAGGATGAGATAAAAATCCATGCAGTAGTACCACAGTAGTGACTTCTACAGAACATATAAAGCTATAAGGCTTTTCTTCTACATGGTTAACGGAGTTCTGGAAAACTGTAAGCACACAGGTATGCACTTCTCTTATGTGTCATACTGTCATACTCAAGAACAAATTTAAAATAAGGTATAATTTTTGCAACAACACTTAAACTTGACCTTTCTTTCTTTCTTCCCTAAAGTTCAAATTTTCATTCCTATTTGTCCTAGTTTTTTGTTGGGATAACTTCTTTTTTGGTAGCTGGTGCAGTGCTGTGTTTTGGATTTAGTGTGAGAGTAATGTTGGTAACATACGGATCTTTTAGTTGTTGCTAAGCAGCGCTTATCCTGATTAAGGACTTTTCAGTCTCAGGCTCTGCCAGTGAGGAGAGGCACAAGAAGCCAGGAGAGAGAAGAGACAAGACACCTGACCCAAACCAGCCAAAGGGGTATTCCATACCATAGCACATCATGCCCAGTATAGAAACTGGGGGGAGTCACCCATCCTGGGACAATCACTGCCCAGGGTCAGGCTGGGCATCGGTCAGCAGGTAGTGAGCAACTGTGTTTTGCATCACTTGTCTCTCCTGGTTTCTCTCTCTTTTTCCTACTATTATTATTGTTATTATTATATTTTACCTTATTTCAATTATTAGATTGCTCATGTTTCAACCAGTGGGTTTTACCTTTGATTCCTCTCCCCATCCCACTGGGGGATGGAATGAGCAGTCACATGGTAACTCCAGTACCTGCCAGCTGGGGTTAAACCGCAACACTGTTATGTGATGGCTTGTCACATTTTTAGTCTGTCTTCCTACTATATATTTTTTCCAAATACACTTTTTTTCTGCGCTGAGCTGACCTCATTATGTACATGATCAAAAGCAGTGAGGCCCTATTAAGTCTGCTGGCATTTTGTTGTGTGTATGGGTCATGCAAGTGCATTGCAAAACTTCACAGAACCAGCAGGATTTCATTATCAGTAGGTACAACCGCACTGGTTTTGGAGAGAACGGGAATCTCGCTTTGTTTTAGAACCTGGCCCAAAGAGTAAAAGCTTATTCCTCGGCTATACCTCTTCCCGAAACAGATGTCGGAGTGCCCTCTGCTGCTACCTGCTTGTATCACACCCAGCAATTTCGGTCACTTCATGCAGGCGGCAGAGACGTGCGCTGTATTTGTAAAATGCAAAAATGATTGAGCAGGGAAACAGAAGCTGGCCACGTTATAAAAAGGGAACGGGCTGGAAAAAGCAGTTCTCAAGGGTACTGGAAGGGTACCCAGGCCCAGGGCTGGCCAAAGGCTCAGGATGGACTTTAAAGCACAGAAACTACTAGTTTGACATACTACTTTTTTTTTTTTTTCCCTCATTATCTTGATACAGCTCCTTGCCATCTCTCTTTTCTTTCAACCTAATACCCTTATGAAGGTCACTGTCTGCTTCTGGACAGTACAGACATAATAGAAGAGGACTGCAAGGAAGCATTTCTGCACGGCTTCCACATCGTTACTAGGAAGGTGCAGTTCCAGTACTGAGCAACAGGTCTGGAAAGAGAGCAGGTGGTGGAGGAGGGAGGGACTGAGAAAGAGCATTTCAACCTGAAGCTAAATAAACAGACATTGCACTTCTAATGTGAAACCAGGTAAACCAGGCAGGAGTTCAATGCTTCTGGCTCAGAACATACAAAAATTTACATCGCAGGTTTTGCATCTAACTTTATTTACACTGTAACTCACTGAGATTGCTCAAATGAGAAAACATAAGTGCTTGTGAAAAAGGATCCTGTACTTCAAAAAAAGAATTTGTCTGTCCTCACACAAACATAATTTGGCTCCAAGCAAACAGTTTCAAAACTAATTAGGAAACCAAAGCAGGCAGTTACAACAGGAAAGTAGCGAAAGACTGCCCTGAGGAATGACATCAGTGTTAACTGCAGCCTTGCACTGATACTCCAACCTCTGCCTGGGGATGTGGCACTACTAACTCATGTTATTTGCAACTTGCTGAGACCTGCTGCAGCTTCACTGGAAATGCCGAGTCGAAAACTTCTATACGTGGAAGGTGCTCCTGCCAGGAACTCAGATTCACGACAGGACAACACCAACGTGCAAATCACGAGCGAGTACTTTCGTTTGCAGTGTATTACCGTTAATTATCCTCAATACCGATATTGTGCCATCTTGCTGCCAGAAACACTCGCAAATGCAGAGCCGCTAGAAAAATGAAATTTAAAAGCTACCGACAGCAGTTGCCCTGAGAAAGACAACATCGGATTAAGTTAAAGGCAGGGAAAGAAATCACTTTAAGAGTCCTTGAGGTTTCGTTGCACAACCGCTATCGTAACTGCCCCACTTCGGAACGGGGCCTCACTCCTCCTCAGAAAGAAAACTAACACCTAATGTACCGGTTTTACTACGAAAAACGTACCGAGATTTGTTTCCATTAGCACCGGGCAGATGGGTGCCTCCCAAGCTTGAGTCCGCTTTCAAGAAGGTGTTTTTATGCTGATGTACCATAGCCATTAGCACAACGATACCGCTCTCCCTCAAACACACGCTGTAAGCACAGTAAGTGCCCTAGCCCACGTTCGTTCTGGACAAGGACGGAGCCCCGTGTCTCCCACCTGCAGCACCCACAGCAGTTACCTAACGCGCCCCACACGGCAGCCGCTGCGGCTCCCGGGGAGGGTAAACGGGAGGCACTGCCCGCCCGCCGCGACTGCGCCGTGAGGCGGACACCCCGCGGCCGCGCCGCTTGGGCTTCAACACCGCGACCCGGGCGGCAAGGACGCCGTTCTTACCTGTGCTACTGCTGTCCCCGTCCCTGTCCCCGCCTCAGGAACTGACGGAAGCAGCCTGCGACGCGCTCCGCCTCCTACCCCTAAGCGGCGGCGGGGCGGGCGATGGGGTTGGTGCGGGCAGTGGGTGTGCGGGATGGCGGGGCCGCGTTGCCTCACGGCTTCTGGGCCGCGGTGCGTGTGTGGTTGGAGAAGCCGCAGGTGGCCAACAGGCGGCTGTGCGGCGCCGCCATTGAGGTGGAGGGGACGGTGGCGCTTGGGGAGGGCGGGGAAGAGTCGTCCTCCTTCGCTGCCGTATGGGGAAGCGAGGAACAGGGGGAGCGAGTGGCGTCTGCCGGGGCTGCGGAGCTGGGCCGGCTCTGGAGGGAGGTCTGCGCCCAGCTGTCACCGGAGCATGGGCGTCTGCCGCCGCCTGTCACGCCTTGGGCCTGGCCGGACCCCCGCGCTGAGCTCCGAGCCGTGCTGAGGACGCTGCTGCCCCGGGCGCGCCCCGCCGGTCCGCCCGCCCCACCGATGAAGGAGCTGGCGGTCCAAGGTGAGCGGGAGCTCGGCGGCGAGGGAGGGCGGAGGGCAGCGGGGGCACCGCCATGCTGGAGCGCGGTGTCTGCTGCGGGCCCGGCCTAGGTTGTCTCGCAAGTCAGATGGAAACCACTTTGTTTCTACTTGTGAGAGTGCAGACTTGTTGTCGTGTGCTTAGATATTATTTTTACCTCTTTTTTTTTTTCTTTCTGTAGTGCTGGGAAGTGTGAACAGTTGAAATGCAAATTACAGAGACCAAACACCTGTAGGAATCCTGTTTAAACAACCCCGTCTACAGCCTTAGCGAGGCAGAGTAAAGGGGGAGCTAATGTGTTATGTGTAAGGTGCTGCTGAGATGAGGAAAGCATTTAGGGAAGCTAAGTACTCTGCTCCTGAAGAGGTGTAGATGACTGCTCATCTTTTTGTCTTCTTTGAAGAAGCAAGAAGGGCTGTCATCCTGCGTGCTTCTGCCCTGAGTAATCTGCCCATACAAAAAATGCTGCTTGTGGTGCACACCTAATGATGGTAGCCTTTAGAAATGCACTTAATGAAAAAAGCAGGCAGCTGTGGCACCTGTCTGAGCAAGCTGAGCTGTTTGTGTTATTACTTAGTATTGCTTAAAAGATGAAGCTAAATATTTTTTTTTTTGTTTTGGTTGGGTTGGTTTTTTACCTTGTATGATGGTAATATGCTGCAGTAAATCCTACTCATTAAGAAACGTGTAAGGTAGAAGTTGACACCTTTTTAAGATAAATTTGGGGAGAAGTAGGGATGGGGAGTAAATTCTTATAGTAAAGCTTTGAAAAGAATCAGAATTCTGGAAGCAATGAAATTTACAATTCAAAAAGACCTGTAATCATTTATGGGATGCTCTTGGGGCCTAAAATTATTTGATGCCTTCAAATCAAAAGGAAGTGTATGTTTTTTTTCTTTTGATGTTAAGATGTTCCTGAGCTACATCTAGAGAGCCTATCTGTAACAAAAAGCTTGGGAGAGTAATTTAATTAGTAAAAATCAAATTTAAAAGCAAAATTTAAAGAAAGAGAGGGAATTAACTAAGGACAGGCCAAGATAGACTTAATGTTTTTTTCTATTGCTAATTTATCATTTCCTGTCTCAGAAAATTGTCCACTGAAGTTTGATTACTCAGCCAATGCAGCATTCTTGGTTTGAAGATTTGCATTTGTCAGGATGTTTTCAAAAATGAGAGCAAGGTATTCTGAAGAAGTCACCCTGGATAAACACCTAAAAGATTTTGCAAGTGTTTTATAAAGCAATAATGCATACATATGTGCCATAAAATATGTAAAAGTGAATGCTTTTACAGTCACTTTATAGGAAGGATATAGGAATAAGTTATTAAGATTAAAAATGAATCAGCATGTGAGTACTAGGCTTTATCATGCAATTCATACTCTGCTGCAGTTGCCTTTTTATTTGTAAGTTATTTCAAAAAGACACAGTCTTTCTTTTTAATTGTGTAGGGGTTACTTACAGTATGTGTATGATTGATATTAAAGAATGAAATGTGGCAAAGTTGCAGAATATCTTCTTGAAATATAATACAGGCACTCAAGTGCATTGCCAGCTGTTTGTCAGCCCATTTCAACTCTTCCAGAATCTCTAGTTTTAGAATCTGTCACTGGACATAAACATTTTATTCTGCAGGTGGTTAATACTGTTAAGATCAGTAGTGTTGTTGCTGAACATAACATGTTAACGTAATATATGCACCTTCACCTAAAACCAGATCTTATCAGATTATCTGCCTTCAGAGTTATGAGATACTAATTTAGGGATAGATAATGTGGTTTTTACAGTGCCTAATCCATGAACTCTGTTTGGAAAAGCTGAATGACAGTGAGGAAGGTATCTTTGCTCAATTATAATTGTAGAATAGTTCACACAATAAATAGATTCCATGCTTAAACATGGCAAAAATGATAGATATTAATAATATTAATTAGTAATACTGAACTGATATTTTTTAGTTTTCAGTTTTTATTAATCTAATACTGGGGTTTCAGTTAATTTGGGATGTGCTTCCCAGGATTCTGGATTCACTGTGGGGCAGGGGAAGGCACCAATTTTGTGGCAGAAAAATCTCGTTGTCTAGCTTTTACTTTATTGAAATAGGTTTAAAGAAAATGGTCTCAGCAGTCAGCCTTGGATGTTCTGAAAACGTCATGCAGCAGAATGCTAAATTTTGGGAATGCAAACAGGATAGTAGTTTTAAATGTCAGGCACACCAAGAAATGGATTTATTCTTAGCACTGTGATTTTTCATGTGTTGTCATAGGTATCGCTTCACTAATTTGCACTTAACATAGAAAAGAGATAAAAGTTTGTTTTGGTGCTAAAAAGAATGGTTTGAACCATGGGATAACCTATCACTATTTATGTATCTTTTCAGATGTTTACAATGGAACTGTGACCTTTCTGCCCTTGGAGGAAAACAGTGAAGGAAAATACAAGATTAAAAAGTGCAATATTTATCAGATTCAACTTGTGTACATAAAAGATGAGGAATGGTAAGTGCTGGAGGCAAGAGAGGAAGCAAACCCCGAGTCATGGCAAGGATCACACCATGTTTTAGTATTGGTATCTAGGTAATTTCCTGCTTGATTAAGTAAGTGACAGTAGTGATTGTTAAACATCTACAATACACAAAACAACACAAATCTGTTTCAACTTTGAATGTATACATTGAATGTACTCGTGGGGTCTAGAAAAAAGTATGCGTATTCTGATCATGAGGAACTAGCTATGCCTGTGAGAGCTCAGGTTCTGAAAGTGTTGATAAGGTTGAGGGTCAGACTAGAACTGCTGTGAACTTACTGAGCTACAGTCATTGAAACATAGACCATTGCAGTTTGGTCCTGAGCATTTGCAGGCATAGCTCTAGTGAAATATGAGTAAAGCTGGAGATGATGAAATAATCAAACATACCAACTGATATATTTTCCTTCTAAATTTTCTTGTTGTTTTCATGAAAATTTTATTAATTCACTTCTACTAGTTAGTGTTTGGACATTTTGCTAAATCGGGTTTTTCATCATATGCGAGCTTTGGTCTATGTGTTAAATGCAGCAAGAAGTCTCGTGCAGTGTTTGAATAGGCAGATATTAAGCTAACAAAATTCAGGGGAGACTGTTCCGTTATTCAGTAACTTCACTGTTTGGTTTTGTGTATTATGTATTTTCTTATTCTCCAGTCTACTTTTATATTTTTGATTTGACTTTTTTTTATCCACTTAATCATTGTATTCTCTCTGAGGTAGCTGAAATTATGAAATATCCTATATTTATACGAAGTTCTTATTTTATTTTAAAGGTCTGTTTCTGTTGTAGCTCCATTTCCAGAAGACTGGTTTTCAGATGGAATTGCATACCCCAAACTAGCATGGCTTGAAAATGAGCTTTTGTCCAAATTGGCTAAATGGTCTGTGGAGCAAAAGCCCAGTGAGTTTAAAAGTACACTCTCGCTCATTTCTGTAGCAAAATACAGCAAGGTTTATCAAGACCTTAAAGAAAAGTACAAGGAGATGGTAAAGGTAAATTTAGTAAATGCAGTATTAATATGTTTTCCTATGCTTTCTTATATTTTTTGTAGTTTTAGTGAAGCTGCTTCTTTCACTAAATCCACAAGCAGTGTATGAAGTCATTCACACTAGAAAGCATAAAGCCCTTCCTTCTCCAAAAGCTTAGTCTGGAAGCAGCTCTGGATAGCAAATAGGTTAAACTTACTCAAATTTGGATGCTGTGTTAGTATGTGTTTCAGTTAGAGGGGCAATGTTGTATTATTGTTTACCCTGGGGATGCTGAAAGATTACTGTGATCATCTTAATTGCTGTATGAATTAATGCCTATACAGCAGACTGTAGCTGCAAGCAAGAAAAATTAGAAATGATTTTGTAAAACATACTGTGAAAATGTTGAAAGGTTTTATTGTTGATATTTCTACACTAATAGAAAGATATAATTAGAGGAAAATTGGACTTCTGGGTAAAGGTAACGGTTGTCTTTAGCTTTGCAATAAAATTAGCGTAGTGTTGGAGCGTTTTAATCTTTGTTTTGGTTCTCATTCACAAAATAGGGATGATACTTTGTGTCTTCCTACTTCAGATTTTGATTCTTCATGTTCTGTTGTGCCACGATAATTCTGTGTCTATTATGTTTTGAAAATACATTTGCAAATGTTCATGTTATCAGTGTTTCAGGAATAATACAAGTATTTTTCTTCTGAGTCAAGCAAAAGGATGCATGCTCTATTACAGAACAGCTGTAGCTGTTTACTTGATTGGATGACAGTAGACATTCTTTATGCCACAATTCTTTTGTGTGACTCACAAAGTCAGACAGTCTTTATTTATATTTTCTGTATATTTTAAATGAGATTAACATACAGCATTCGTGAAGTGCAGAAACCTGTTGAAGTGGATGAGTATCCAGATTGAGCACTTTTTGAAGTAATTTCAGATGGTGCAGAAAATAATTTTTCTCTTCTTTTTTTGAAGGTGTGGCCTGAAGTGACAGATCCTGAGAAATTTGTTTATGAAGATGTTGCCATTGCCACTTACTTGCTGGTAGGGAACTGCCTTCCCTAAGATTATTCTATAAGTTTCTGTTGCTCAGTAATAGAATTATCCTACAGAAAATCAGTATTTTCATTTTATACTTGTTGCATTTTTTTTTTAATAGAATGACCTGAAGTTATTACAGGCATACAAGGCAAAAGGAAGATGCTGAGAGAAAGGATGTGGGGTTTATGGGTTTCAGTAGAATCCTAGAATTGTAGAGTGGTTTGGTTTGGAAGGGACCTTAAAGATCATCCAGTTCCAACCCCCTTGCCACAGAGAGGGGCACCTTTCACTAGACCAAGTTGCCCCAAGCCCCATCCAGCCTGGCCTTGAACACTGCCAGGGATGGTGCAGCCACAGCTTCTCTGGGTATCCTGTGCCAGTGCCTCAGCACTGTCATAGTAAAGAATTTCTTCCTAATGTCTAATCTAAATCTTCTCTCTTTTAATTTAAAGCCATTCTCCCTTGTCCTATCACATGTCCTTGTAAAATGTCCCTCCATCTTTCTTGTAGGTGCCCTTTAGGTACTGGAAGAATGTTACATGTGCCAATATATAGCCAGTTGATTACAAATAACATTTTTGGTTTTATTTTCAGCTCTGCCACCAGTTCTTTAATACAGTGGATATAAATGTTTCTGTGGTGTTACTTACTGTTGAAGTTTACTTGCCGCTTCCTCTGTTTATCTGTGGCTGCCTTTGTTTTAGCAAGTTACTTTACATTTACACTCAGTCTAGCCCAGGGCTGTATAGCCTTGATTAATTTCAAATTCAGGTGACTCAGAAGAAATTGGAGGATGTGCTTAGCACTTAGAAAATGATTGATACTTTGTCAGTTGATGAGAAACTGAACATGAGCCATCAGTGTGTGCTCGCAGCCCAGAAAGCCAACTGTGTGCTGGGCTGCAGCATGGTATCAAAATGATATCCTAACAAAAGGAGCATGGTAACAGGTCAAAGGAAGTAATCCTGCCCCTCTATGCTCTGCTCTCATGAGACCCCACTTGGAGTATTTTGTGCAGTTCTGGTGTCCTCAACATAAAAAGGACATGGAACTGTTGGAACAAGTCCAGAGAAGGGCCACAGGGATGATCAGGGGGCTGGAGCACCTCCCATGTGAAGACAAGCTGAGAAAGCTGGGGCTGTTCAGCCTAGAGAAGAGGAGGCTGTGTGGAGACTTCATAGCAGCCTTCCAGTGTCTGGAGGGTGCCTACAAGGATGCTAGAGAGGAGCTCTTCATGAGGGACTTTAGTGATAGGACAAGGGGTAATGAGTTTAAACTTACATATGTAAAGTGCAAGATAGGTATAAGGAAGAAGTTCTTTACTGTGAGGATGGTGAGGCACTGGAACAAATTACCCAAAGAAGTAATAAATACTCCATCCCTCGAAGTGTTCAGGGCCAGGCTGGACGGAGTCTTGGGTGGCATGGTCTAGTGTCCATGGCAGGGGGGTTGGAACTAGATGATCTTAAGCCCTAACTATTCTGTCAGTTGATGATCACATAATTACTGCCCCTCTCTGTAAAGTTTGTGGTTTTATTGTTTGCTTGTTTTTTTTCTTCCCGTGTATCGAGTTGTTTTCTCTGTGACTACAGGGAATATGTTCTGTCACATCTGCATTCTCTTCAAGCTTTCTTCTTTAATTTCCGATAACCTCTGCTGCTTTCTTACAGGAGAGATGAGAGCAGAAGTCTAAAATGTTTTCTTCTCTTGTCTTAGATTCTTTGGGAAGAAGAGAGAAAGGAAAAAGGGTTGACTAAGAAACAGTCATTTGTAGATCTTGGATGTGGAAATGGTCTGCTGGTTCATATTCTAAATAATGAAGGGGTAAATAGAGTGCTTTTTAAATAATAATTAAAACCCAGAGATAATCAGTAGTCTTGTTATGTTTTCTTTTATCTGGCATGCAGATAGCCGAAATTGTTAATTCATGTTGCTAAAATAGGACTTTTGTCACTTTAGTTACCAGGTTAAAATTCTAGCAGAGCTTCAGAAACCTTTCACTTATTTACTGTTCTTATTAGTGTAATTCACTTCAATTCCAGGCTAGTTTTCAGAGGTAAGACACTAAGAGGGAAAATAAAAAGTGATTACATAATTTAGTTATGCTCTAGACAACGCAAAAAGGAATGGGGAATCTTAATCTGGAGATTCTCTCTAGCAAGATGCTTTCCATGAACTTAATTTTATTGAAATTGAATTCTACTTGTCATGCCCTAAAAATGTTTTTCTGTATCTTTAGAAACAATCCTGTGATCTGTTAATTGTGAAAATGCCTATCAATGTAATGTGCTTTTGGGAGTGAAAATGTGGCAACAGCAGAATTTAGTTGCTTGAGGCATGGTTTCTGAAACAGCAAAGAAAGTGAGATTGAACAAAACCCAGTGAAGTTGAGTCTGTTTCAGAAAATTGTATTTTCCACTTTTGGGAGAACATGTTTAAGTGTGTTAATTTAGGAAATTACTACCTCCTATTTGATCAATAGATGTCATTGGCAGTAGGAAAAAGTCCCAAGTTCTCCTAGCACAAGTTTTCTATCTTTGTGTAGCCAGAAAAATTTGATCTGCTGTAAACCACTGTTTTACCTGTAGAGGTTTCTTTTGGTACATCATTAGGTCATCACTGCTATAGCACTGACAAACATTGTTGACTGGCAAGAAATCATGTGTGAGAGTTTTATGAGACTTGGTACCTGATTTTGGTTAGTTCTGCACATTATTACTGAAATCCAAATACTGTAACTTATGCATTTTTATGTCTTGCTTTAGTTTCCAGTCCTATTTCCTCTTTTCATCAGTTCACACAGGGAAAGGTGTGTTTGGACTCCAGCAGGCTAATTGACTTCAGTAGCTGAAGGGTGTCTGTCCAGCAAGAACTGCTTAGAGTAGCCCTCTTCCCTGAGCCCTGTGGGTGATACAGCAATACTCGCCTCGGGATAGGTTTTGATATTTTAAAAGCAAACAAAAAGCTTCTACCCAAAATGGTGAGGCTGTGTTTCATTATGTGTCTAAATTGTAGTATGAATGAATTAAGTCAGTATTAATTCATTTAGTGAGGCTATTTGACAGTTTCTGCTAAATGTAGTACTTAAAAATGATACTTTTTCTTCTTCAAATATTTCAGCATTCAGGTAGAGGAATTGATGTGAGGAGAAGAAAAATATGGGACATGTATGGATCAGGAACTCATTTAGAGGTATTATGCAAATGTATGTCAATTTTACTGATTTGTAACTTTATTCATTTCTTCATTGCTTCAGGTTGTGTTGATGCAAATGTAATCAAACAAATGAGGTTGCAGACAGTTCTCTAAAAGTGATCTGTGGGTTTGGGATGATGACCCCCATATATCTTGTGGGACTGTGCATTGTTAAGGGAATTAGGAGAGCAATACTTGTATATTTGCAACTTCCTTATTTTTCAGCTAAGGCTGTCTTGATTTCCTTCTGCATATACAGACATGCACACCAGAAACAATCTTTGGTTTTACTGGAAGATCAGTATTAAGCAGCTTTGTTTCTACCACTCTACCTCCTAAAAAGTATTAATATCCAGAGTTGTGCACAGTTTATTCTTGAAAGTGATTCTGACCTTCTAGTGCTATGTGCTGTCTTGGGGACAAAATTGTTGAACCTCAGAGGAGCCAATCTCTGCTGTACTGAGCTTACGGTAAATAATAGCAATAATAGCCTTCATAAAAAAATGAACAGGAAAATGAGTCTGAAAGAGGGATTACATTTCAAGTTCCACATAGCATTTTTGTGAGCATTGGAGTATTCACTAACTCCATCTGTTCTTGGTCAGATACTTGTCAAAGTGTGGTACTGATGAACAGTTGCCCTTTGGAGGTGAGGTTCATGGCTTCTTGTTCTCTAGACTCCTGAAATTCCTCACTTTTCTCTCAAAAATTGGCAGCGTCAAATATATTAGAATTTTCCACCTGTAGTTTTCTAGTATTTTTGTTTAAAAGTTAATTCAAGGTATCTTTGAATGCTAATATTTTGTGTTAAATCAGTAAAAGAGCAGCAGTTTTCACAGATGGGAGGTGGAGCTTTCACAGCCTTGTGCAGCCTCCTCTTTGCCACCCTGCCATTTTGGGTGCAGATTGCCAAAACTGACAGATTCCTTTGCAGCACTCTGCAAGCAGATTGTACTGCAAGGCTTCAAGAAACAATCTGAAACGTCAAGCTGTGGTAAGCCTTCATTTGTGTTACAGAATCATAGAATCCTAGAATGGTTTGGGTTGGAAGGGACCTTAAAGCTCATCCAGTTCCAACCCTCTGCCATGGGCAAGGACACCTTCCGCTAGACCACATTGCTCCAAGTCCTGTCCAGCCTGGCCTTCAGCACTTCCAGGGATGAGGCGTCTGCAACTTCTCTGGACAACCTGTGCCAGTGTCTCACTGTTACACTATATTATGTTAGTTCTGATCATACTAAACCTGTTTTATATGTTTGTTTTTCTGCCCATGTTTCAGTATTATGGAGAGTGTTGAATTTTGGACATTCGTTTCATATTGAGGTCTGGCTGTTTACAGTTTCTCATATTTCTTGAATCATAAGGAAACTTCTGAGCATCAGCTGTCCCTCTCTGCAGCATAAGGCAGCAAAATACAAAAGGGCATGTGTTATTTGTCTTTTTTAAAAGAAAAAAAAAGACTTCAGAGAACACTTGAAAAATCCAGACACAAAACAAATATATCCAATATATATATATATATATATAAAGAAAGTACTAATTTATGAGGGAAGGAGTTATATAACAAACAGGAAGGGTGAAATGGTTTTTCAAGGCTCCAGTAGCTACAGGAGCCACAGTCGGAGAAAGCACGTACTTGCAGCTTTTTGTTAAACTCAAAGCTAATTTAGTTGTGATTTTTACTTAAAGCATGAGTTGCAGGATGAATATTGCCATCTGTGGCACTCACTGCCAATACTAACAATATAAATGAATTTAACAGGTGGCGTTACACATTGCCAAACTGCTGTCAGACATGGTGAATACAAATTTGATTACAGGTCACTGTCAAAATGTGGAGTGTGGCACTGATAATTCTTCTATGCCTAAATTGAACAATCAAAACTGAACAGTAATGTAGGAGTAATTTATTTAATCAACTGTAGGAAAATCTTACCAAACATTTGATTTAACATCTACTAACCTGACAAAAAGAAATGTTACATATAATATCTAAACATATATCTACGTAAATAAAAATGGTTAGACATTGTATTTAAGGGGAGCAGTAATACACTATACTAATACTTAAAACACCTAACATAGTGCTTTCTGAAGGGGGAAACTGGGATGTAATCGAGGTAGTCTTAAGATTTCTGAAATTCTCTAGTAAGTGTTTTTTGGTCTTGTTTAGGTTTTTTGGTTGGTTGGTGGTTTTATTTAATTCCTATATAGATGCTACTTTGTATATACATGTGAATTTTGAACTCGTAAAACATGCATTTTGTCTATAGAAGGAGTATGGGCATCATTTTCAGGGCTTTTCCTAAAGGTCTCTGGAGAGTTAATTTAAAACTTTTTCTCAAATCTGCACATAATTATTTTGGGATTCATACAGGGTTTTGCAGAAGAGTATGTGTACTTCCACAGTATCAAAATCTTTTAAGTACTTTCTTTGCTGAACTTGGTTCAAGGTATGAAAACTATTCTGCGAGTCAGTACTGTGATGGGAAGACTTCTGTGCTGATGCCTCCTCAATCCATATATATTGAAATTCCATGAAGCAAAATACTATTCCAAAGCCCACCAAAGAAACCTTCTGTCTTTAACCTATTTTTTCCTGTTTTTGCTCCTGATTTCGCATGTATCGTAAGGTAGTTTTGGTGCAACTCAGCAGGGTGTGGAATGGCAAGTGTTAGGCTGGGTTTGGTTTCTTCTTGAATGATTAGGTGTGAAGGATGATGTTCTGTCTATTAGGATTTGATTTGGGAAGAGTCTGTGAATAAGAAGGTAATAGTAAAGCTGTGTTCTGATTAGTTGCTATGTGAGTCCTAGGTCTGTAAGACATACCAAATAGTGGCTTTCTGCCAAATTAAGTCCATGCATACATGCAGCAGAAGGAGAACGGCAAGCAATCCTAATCCAATATGTGATACTTAATAGAATCATAGAATAGTCAAGGTTGGAAAGGACCCTAAGATCATCTAGTTCCAATCCCCCTGCCATGGGCAGGGACACCTCACACTAAACCATGTCACCCAAGACTCCATCTTTAGGGTGCCAGATACCTTAACCAAAACTGTTATTCCACTCTTTGTCCAACCAGTGTCACTAACTTACTGCTTTATAGCTATAACAAATTACAACCTGGCAAAATTGTAGACTGAGGAAAAACATTGGTGTCTGTGGTTCTCATTCACCTTGTGTTTGTAAGCTTGTATAATTTTATATTGTTGCTTAGTTCTTTTATTAACAAATAAAATGGATTAAAAGGAACCTGTAATATAATTCATTAAATGTATTGTTTGGTTGGTTTTGGTTTGGTGTTTTTTTTTTTTTTTAGGAATCTACAATCATGCCAGGTGACACTCATCTCTTTCCAGACACTGACTGGCTCATAGGAAATCATTCAGATGAATTAACACCATGGATACCTGTAATTGCAGCTAGGTATCTTCAGAGGGAGGGAAGTGCGAGGGAAGGAATTAAACAAACAAACCAAAGCATAATTACATATGTGGGCTTGGTGCACACTGTTACTTTGCAGCCACATCTGCTTTCCTTGCTGCTTTTGATGGCAGTTGATTATTTCTACATAATTTCATTTCCTGTGGAAAAGCACAGATGTAGTGTTTACTTTCTTATAGAATTCAGTACAGCATTTTGCTTTCCAAGTTCAAACCTCAGAACTGATGTGAATCTGTTGTTTGGTTTTGTAGTGGGGGGGGTGGGGGGGGTGGTGTTCTTTATTTGCTTGTTTTTTAAAATTGCTGTTGGTTCTTCCTTACTTTGAACCATTGTGCCCTTTGCAACCAGCTGCAATAGCTTAATATCTGCAGCTGTAGTCTTGCAACCCAACTTGGTGCAGTAATTTGCTATAGCAAATACTTTGTGAAACAGTGTTTTTGATTCTGATAATAGATCTACTACAAGAGGGAAATATAAATACTATTTCATGCAGCTGTCACTTAATGAAAATTCCCATTATTGTATCTAATGGGTTATTTGTTAAATATGTGCATTCCCTGAAGCAACATTCTGTTCAAGAGTTTGTTATCCTTCTTGTAGGTCTTCCTATTCTTGTCGCTACTTTGTGCTGCCCTGTTGCTTCTTTGATTTCTATGGAAAATACAGCCGAAGACAAAGCAAGAAAACCCAGTACAGAGAGTATCTTGATTTCGTTGCCCAAGTGGGATTTGTATGCGGCTTTAATGTGGAGGAAGATTGCCTTAGAATTCCATCAACAAAGAGGGTAATTTTGGACTATGTAGGGCTTTTGTCTTTTTAATTATTATTACTTTAAGCTGCTAGCTGTCTGAAACATGCGGATGTTTGTTCATTATTGTCCTAAGATCAGTTGCGTTACTTGAGACAGTATGCTCTGCAGAGATAGTATAAATACTCAGAAAGGGAAGGTTTTATGATTATTTCTTTTGCCAGGCTACAGGATGGAAAACTTGTGAAGCTTTTTGTTGGTTTTTTTTTTTTTACTTAATTTTCCCAGCTGCCTGTGTTGCATTATTTGAACTTAATTTTTCTGTTTTTCATGTCCATGAAATTCAAAGTGGAATGTCCTCAGAGTAGGAAGAGGTATCCAGCTTTAATTTTATAAACAATCTGAGGGCCAGAAGTAAACTTTACTCTGTGCTTTTGTGTCATGATGGCTTATGGCCTGATCACTGGATTTCTTCTGTGGCACCAATATTTGGAGACTAAAATCAAGAAACCCTCAGATGTTAATGAGCATTGAGTTTGAATGGATATCTCCTGTAGGTGGATTTAGAAGCCTGTGTGTAAGACATGTGCACGTTGGAAGGCCGTGTGTATGGGAGACTGTTTAAATAGTTATTTATCTGTTTCTACTAAATAGGTAAGCCTTATTGGAAAAAGCAGGACCTATCCACCTGCAGAACATGCTCTGATTGACAAGCAGATAACACAGTATATTAATACTCATCAGACCTGTGCTCTGCTCATGTGTAACAGAAAAGTTGCATGTAATCATAAGGATCACTCTGATGTGTGCAAAGAAGCCAGCTCTGAACTTCCTGAAAATGAGACTAAGACTGCTGGTACAATTTGGATGCCTGGATTTCAACCCAGAGAAAAAGTAGAACAAATCAGAAACTGTGCTTCCCTCCCTCGGGATTTTGTAGATGATGTGGTTCTCAGTGTGGCAAACTTGCTGTTAAATGCAGCCTCCCAAAACTCATGTTCTGATATGCGTGATGGAAATACAAATACCTGGAATCAAGGAGGTGAGACTGTCTTTGCTTTCTTTATCTTTTGCTGGTAGAGGATGTCTTTTTCCAATGCATTGACATAGTTTTTAAACTTACTAAAATAGAATTGCAGAATCATAGAATCGTTAGGGTTGGAAAGGACCTTAAGATCATCCAGTTCCAATCCCCCCTGCCATGGGCAGGGACACCTCACACTAAACCATATCACCCAAGGCTCTGTCCAGCCCGGCCTTGGGCGCCACCAGGAGTGGAGCATTCACAACTTCCCTGGGCAACCCATTCCAGTGCCTCACCACCCTCACAGTAAAGAACTCCTTCCTTATATCCAATCTAAACTTCCCCTGTTTAAGTTTTAACCCATTACCCCTTGTCCTATCACTGCAGTCCCTAATGAAGAGTCCCTCCCCAGCATCCCTATAGGCCCCCTTCAGACACTGGAAGGCTGCTATGAGGTCTCCACGCAGCCTTCTCTTCTCCAGGCTGAACAGCCCCAGCTTTCTCAGCCTGTCTTCCTACAGGAAGTGCTCCAGTCCCCTGATCATCCTCGTGGCCTCCTCTGGACTTGTTCCAACAGTTCTATGTCCTTTTTATGTTGAGGACACCAGAACTGCACACAGTACTCGCAAGTGACGTATAGTTTTTAGGCAATACCATGAGCAGTACAGTAGCAATTAAAGGTACTTTTTTTTTATTCTGCAATGTTTTATTGCACACTAGGATGTTAATAAAGCATAAGTTTATAATTATAAGAATTATATATTCTTATAGGAATATTTTGGAATTGGTGTGGGTTTTTTTGCTTTACACTTAAATACTAGGCCTGCATCAATTTTTATTACAAAAGCCAAACCAAACCCACAGCTCCTCCCTCTGTACTAAAACAGAACATATACACCTATCTGTGGAGAACAGTAAGTTTTCTAACATAGCAGCTATAATTTTGTAAGAATCGTGTAAGAAGTGCTTTGAAGTGCCATTTGATTATGACATGATTAGGAATTTTTAGTTTAGTCTTAGGAAGAAAAAGAGCAGACGTTGTTAATTTTATAAGCATTCTCGCTACCATCGTTCCATTTTTCTCCATTTTTATTATTTACTTACTTCTTGTTTGTCATATGTTACTGTTACAGGATATTCCTTGAGTCATTCTCTTTTCTCTAAATATGTGCATGTAAACAGTGCTTATTGCAATGAAGGTTACTTGGTACTACAAAAAAAGGATGAAAATAAAAAATTCCTTACTGTGGAAATTCTGACTTGAGTCCTGTAGAATGAAACCTGCTATTTTACAGACAATATACATATAAAATTGTATCACACATAATATTAGGAGTTCAAAGTTGATGCAGTACTGGTAAATAATTCATAGATTCTGCTCATAATTGTTAACTTATAAAGTCCTAAGAAAATTTAACTTCTACATATGTATACATTTCAATAGCTACACCATTATTTATTGCAGAAAGCCTTTCCTTGAAAGAAGTAGCAGAACACTTACATAAAGAGACTTTAAAAAGGCTGAAGAGTGAATATGGAGGCCTGCAGACACTTCTCAAGAACAATCATCAAGTATTTGAAGGTAAAGAAGTGAGGTTTAGTTTTGGTTTGGTTTTCTTTAATAATTTATTTTGTCTCCTCTCTATGCTGTTAAACACAACTGGAAAATTACTGTGGTGGTGGTTTTGTTTTTTTAACCACTTTCAATATCTGTCTGGCCTTATCAAGATCCACAATGTAAGTGCTGACACAAAATAAAACCAGTCTTCATGAGAATCTGTTAACTGTGAGGCTTGATGTGCTTACATAGACTATGGTGGCATGGCAGAAAGAATTCAGTAGCAAGTTTCTGTGGTTGCCTGGGTTTGTCAATAATTTTGTTGCTTGTATGTTTGGGGTGTTTTTCCCCATTGTGGTGGTGTGTTTTGTGTGGGTTTTGGTGTGTGTTTTCATTTGTTTGGATTTTTTTGAGGGTTTTGTTGTGGGGTCTTTGTTGTTTTGTTTGGAGTTTATTTTTTGTTTGCTTTGAGCTAGTCACACTGCATTCATTATGTGTCTGAATTGGATTCCCTGTCGTTAGGGATAGGTAGAATAGATTTACAACCTGTTAAATGGAGTGAGCATTTTAATTAGGTATGGATGCTGTCTGCACATAACCTCTGAAGAAAGACTAGGATTAAGGCCATATCTTTCTTAGCAATTTACATCACATGGAAGCTCCATGGAGCTTCAGTAGGGACTGTTTGATTCTTTCCTTCACCATGTCACCATAACAAGTGACTTCTATCAGCAAGTGGTCTACGAGGACATTGCTCATGCCAGAGGCAACAGAGAACAACATGGCTGCAGCTTTTTTGCCATTTTTTTCTAAAGTGTATTTCTTTTAAACTTAAGGAAAACAGATGGATGCACACACACACAAAAAGGGGCTTAGAGTGGCTGATCTGTGGCAGTTTCTTTTGATCTGGCATCTTGTCCAGTACAGGTCTGGTTTTCTAGTTAAAAATACACTTGATCATAAATAGCACTAGATCTGCTCAGTTTTCTTCATCATTTGAGAGAGATGTTAAAGCTGAACGCACTCCTGGATTGCCTTTCTATGAGTTCAGATCAATTTGTGTATCACAGGGAAACCTTGAGGGATGACTTCATCCAGGCCTAAATGTGTGATACTAAGCTTTCATTTGACTTGTTACCTTTGGAATAGCAGTTACCAGAATGCACAATGGTGTCAGTTAACTGATGCAAGTGTGTAATACAGAAGGTATGATTGAAGCAGAATATGAAAATAGAGCATGGCAACTTAGAAATGGCAGATTCTTCCCTCCTCATTTTCACTGTTGTTTTTAATCTTTTTTTTTCTTTCTCTCTTAAATTTTATTCTGTTTTGCTCACACATTTAAGGAGCTGGCAAAGGTTCCCAAATGTGTGTGTGCAGTTTATGGTCCTGATGCAGCAGATTAATTAAAAGAGTGCACAAAGTGACAAACTATAATTCCCTGATGGTTCATATGAAGGATTAGACTTTTCATCTCCTTGGTGCAGTGTATTTTTTGGGTCAGTAAACCATTGTCTTTGCAAAAGCATTTCTGTGTAGTGAAAAAGTAATAGAACTCTTACTAGATTTTTACTGTTAATCACATTTCAAATGTGGGATACTTTGAACACAGGAAGGATTACAGTTCTTGAAGCTGAAACTCCTTTGTCAGGATTTGTAGTCTAAATTCAGAGGATTTTAGTCTAAATGATCCTAACTGCTGTATTTGAAGTAAGCGTCTACAAAGTTGATACAAAGGTACCTCAAACTATTCAGCATCACAATAAAGCATCTCACAGGGAAAACAATCAATTCTGCTTTAGACCATGTCTATATCATCTTGGTTTGTTACATAGTTCTTTCCATTCCTGTGCACGTGGCACGTTTGGTTTTGCCTGAGTGATCCATTTGTAGAACATATATTTTATTCACAGGCTGTCACTGTGCATTTTTTCCAGTATAATTCCCATGGCTGTCTATTCACAGCTGCTTTTTGTTTGTTTCTGAATCTTAGTTCTAAATGGGAGAGTTCATATTCGTGACTGGAGAAAAGAGAAACCGTCAAGGAAAACTAAGCCTGAAGTGAAGCGCCGCCTTTCAGCTGAAGCATTTAAAACACGTCTCTGTTGGTTTTTCATTCATCATCCTGATGGTTGTTCTTTGCCTTCTGAATCCTGCCCATATGCTCATGGGACTGAGGAACTAAGGCAGTCTCAGAAGATTAAAAAGAAGAAAAATATACAGTAATAAAATGCCTCCACTTACGTTTAAGCTGATGTACATAACCAAATATGTGACTGACTTTGGGACTGCCTAGTGCATGAAGATCTGTACAGTATGGAGGGGTTTCCCAATTCCTATGTATCTTATTTTCCATTTAATTTACAAGTTCTGCATTTCTCATTCTTTTGTTTTGTCATTAACATACTACATGTATGTAGTAAAAGTATGTAATACTTTTGGATTTTGTTTCGGCTTGACTAGCGTGCATTTGTATAAGTTGAAAAGTTTAAAAGCTTTGTTTCCTAGGGCACTCTTCATGATCCTCAATGAGTTCAAATGTACATGATGCAGCATTTTCAGACCATGAAAATCAGCTGATTTTTTTTTTTCAAGATTGTCCAGGAGTATTTGTGATTTCTTATGACTCAGAGGCTCTATCAGTCAAACTGGTGAGATTTCACTTTCCTGACCTGACAGCGTCTTCTCCCTGTTACTATGATATAATATTACATGTTATCCTTTGTTTCTTGGTCAGGCCCTAGTCCTCTAGTCCATGTTTTTCATACTGATTCAAAATCAGTGCTAAATTGAAGAATAACTCCCTGGGAAATCATTGTGGAAGTTTTCACAGTAAGTGTAGGTTTTTATGGCTATGTAGGTCATCCTGTGCTTTCCCTCTTATTTTTAAAGTAAGGAGTAACAGTAACATTGGAGTAGAAGGGCTTGGCTTATCGGATAACAGAGGAATGTCTTGGCACCTTGTGCGGGTGATGGTTTGCTGTTAGTTTATGTAAAAGGCTTAACTTTAAATGTACATCCAAAGAAGAGCAATGAAGCTGGTGAAGTGTCTGGAGCCCAAGTCTGACAAGGACAAGAGGTAGTGGTCTCAAGCTGTGCCAGGGGAGGTTTAGATTGGATATGAGGAAAAACTTCTTCACTGGAAGAACTGTTAAACTGTTGGAATAGGCTTCCCAGGGAAGTGGTGGAGTCACCATCCCTGGAGGTATTTAAAAGACATGTAGATGTGGCACTTAGGGACATGGTTTAGTGATGGACTTGGCAGTGCTGGGTTAATGGTAGGACTTGATGACCTTAAAAGTCTCTTCCAACCTAAGTCATTCTATGAACTTAGCAGAAATCCTAATTATTTCCCAGTAACAGTCACTGAACTAGTGTCATAATTCATATCTGTCAAGTGCAAAGTACTTTTAAAATTCAGTATCTGAAATGTGGAGGTGAGAGCAATGACATAGAAGTGGATTGCAAGACAAAGAGGTCTAGGGATAAGAATGAGTAAGCTGTGTGAGAACTCTGTAAGAGCTCAGGGAATCTGAAGAACAAAGGAATGAAATAATTGAGGACAAAGCAGAGGAGAAATGAAAGATGACACTGGGAACACCTTTCAAAACCATTCCAAAGCCACTTTTCTAACACCCTAACTTTGATCCAACATGTTCCAGTCCAGTGTATGCAGAGGAAGCAGGGTCTGAATGTGTTTGACGTGCCAGGAGCACGTCTGAAGTGTTGCATGTTCTCCCTTCTCTTTGCACTCCTGGAAGAAGCAGTAGCTCTTGATAGATAACAGTGACCCTGGTAAGTGCAGCAGTACCTTACTCCTGGATCACAGACCATGTTATGCAGTATGCCAAGTAGCACAGGAGCTATGGTGGGCTCTGAGTCTTTCCCCATGCCTCTGGTCTGCAGCAACTGAACCCCACACAGCCACTTACTTACTGTTGTTGTTCCCACCCAACATCCAGTGGGATGGGGGAGAAAAACAGAAGAGTAAAAGTGAGAAAACTCATGGATTAAGATAAAGACAGCTTAATAGGTGAAACAAAAGCCACATGCACAAGTGAAGTAGAAAAAGGAATTCATTCACCACTTCCCACGTGCAGGCAGGTGTTCAGCCATCTCCAGGCAAGCAGAGTTCCAGCATGCATAACAGTTACTTGAGAAGACAAGTGGTGTAACTCTGAATGTCCCTCCCTTCCTTCTTCCAGCTTTATATGCCAAGCATGACGCCATATGGTATGGGATAGCTCCTGCGTCCGTTAAGGTCAGCTGTTCTGGCTGTGTCCCCTTCCTTCTGCACTCCCAGCCTACTTGGTGGGGCAGTATGGGAAACCCAGTCAGCCTTGATGATGTGTAATCACTGCTCAGCAATAACTAAACATCCAAATTATCAACACTGTTTCCAGCACAAATCCAAAGCATAACCCCATACCAGCTACTGTGAAGAAAATTACAAAAGCAGCACACCATGTCCTGAATTTAGCACTAGGCATTTCGAAAAGAAGATAAACCCTTGGGTAAGGGGCAAATTGGGTGTAGTTCAGTTAGGGTGATTGGAAAAAAAGGAAAGAATAGTGTAAGCCAGATGAACTGCAACTTCTGTGAAGCAGGGCAGCACAGTAAGGGAACACAGCTGATGGTCTTCTTACTGGTATAGGAATCTCAGGAAAATAGCTTATTGAGGGGACAGATTTGAGAACAGCCATGGAATTACATAAACTTGCATGCAATCAAGTGTGAAGTCGTTTGTGTTAGCCTTTATTTGGCTACATGCAGGGTAAGAATTCCCCATGATGCTTACTGTGGTAAACATAATGTTTGATGAGAAGAAGGCTCCTATAAAACTTAAGTTCATGTGATCTGCATATGAAGATTGCTTCCAGATGGTGCAAAGAGCAAAAACAGACTTTCAATTGTTTTCCTGTCATTGGTCTTCTCTAATGATTCACATTGGGGTAGGATGTGTTTGACTTGAAACATTTCCTGAGTTAGATAGAGTTCACCTGTGGAGCCTCTCAGATGGGCTTGCAGGAAGTCAGGGTTAAGAATTTGGAAGAAGGTTGGCTGTATTTTGGTTGTGCCTTTTTTATCACGTCATTCTTTCCAATAACTGGTGAATGAAATACCTGCTTGACTCATTGAAGTCAAAAATGCACACAAGAGAAGACCAGTGAATTAGCTTTACCTCTTTTATTATTTTTGCAATGCTATCAGAACTAGTGTAGCATACAATGATACTGTAGTACCCTGCCTCCTACTGTCTCTGAACTCACCAGTGCACAGATTGTTGCAGATGTACAAAGGCTGTTCCCCTTCCTGTTTGGCATCCCTGCAGGTGGCAAGCCAGCCAGCAAATCTCCTATAATTACACAAACTTCCCTGTTGTTTGGAGAAGTGGTAAGAGAACATTTTTGCATCTAAATGCCAGCCTTATATAATTCAGCATTTAAATGTGAAGGTAACTGCTGAAGGTGTGAAATAGCTCTGCTTTCTCTAAATTCTGTATCTTGTTGCTTTCTCTGTGATCCACATGCTTAAAATGGCATTAATACAATATTCAGCTTTAGCGATGAAGTACTATACAGAGTAAGAATCAGTTTCTCTCCTGATAACAAAGCTCTTGCTCCACAAGGGTTTCAAGCATAAAGTTTAGCCATGACAAGTGCAAGGTCCTACACCTGGGTCAGAGCAATCCCAGGCACAGCTACAGGTTGGGCAGAGAAGAGATTCAGAGCAGCCCTGCAGAGAAGGACTTGGGGGTGTTGGTTGATGAGGAAATGAACATGGGCCGGCTTCAGTGTGTGCTCGCAGCCCAGAAAGCCAAGCGTATCCTGGGCTGCATCAAAAGGAGTGTGACCAGCAGGTCGAAGGAGGTGATCCTGCCCCTTTACTCTGCTCTCATGAGACCTCACCTGGAGTATTGTGTGCAGTTCTGGTGTCCTCAACATAAAAAGGACATGGAACTGTTGGAACAAGTCCAGAGAAGGGCCACGAGGATGATCAGGGGACTGGAGCACCTCCTGTATGAAGACAGGCTGAGGAAGCTGAGGCTGTTCAGCCTGGAGAAGAGAAGGCTGCGTGGAGACCTCATAGCAGCCTTCCAGTATCTGAAGGGGGCCTATAGGGATGCTGGAGAGGGACTCTTCATTAGGGACTGTAGTGACAGGAGAAGGGGTAACGGGTTAAAACTTAAACAGGGAAAGTTTAGATTGGATATAAGGAGGAAATTCTTTCCTGTCAGGGTGGTGAGGCACTGGAATAGGTTGCCCAGGGAGGTTGTGAATGCTCCATCCCTGGTGGTGTTCAAGGCCAGGCTGGACAGAGCCTTGGGTGCGATGGTTTAGTGTGAGGTGTCCCTGCCCATGGCAGGGGGTTGGAGCTAGATGATCTTAAGGTCCTTTCCAACCCTAACTATTCTATGATTCTATGAAAGTCTGAATTTTTCAGGTGATGCTCTCATTTTACTCTGTGCTTTATTAGTATCACTTCCCATTAGTTAATTTGTCATTATTTGACATGTAGGTTATAAAGGGAAAATACATGGTATTGTAGATACCTCACAAGAGTGAGACTATGAAGAGAAGTTAGATGTCTAGAACCAGAAATGCTGGGGTCTAGAGATTTTGTATTTCCATCTTCAGATGAACTACAATTCCATTAAGTCTACAGAAATATTCTGAATTAAATAAGATCCAAAAAGTATATGTTTATGTTCTCCCTTAAGCCTCAGTGAAGGACTGAATTGTAGTTTTTTATCAGGTCCTTAAACCTAAAGAAAAAAAAATATAGTAAAAGTTTTTACTCATAGAATATCCACCTATAGCTTCACAGCAGTCTCTTTCTGGCACATTTCAAACCAGGAAACTTTTCTGTGTATGTGTCAGTTTGGGTTGTTCTGTTTACGATGTTACTGTCACCACTTCACGTTACAAATGATTAGCTCAGATTTAGAGCAATTCCTAGAGGAAGTGTTCTAGCTTGCCTGACAGCAAATATAGGCCTCTAGGTATGCTTTGTAATAACAGGCTGCTGCTTATGGGTTTGGGGGCTTGTTTGTTCCGATTCAGAGTTTTAAATGAAAATTTCTAGCTACCCCATCCCTGGCAGTGTTCAGGGCCAGGCTGGATGAGGCTTTGAGCAACCTGGTCTAGTGGAAGGTGTCCCTGCCCATGGCAGAGAGGTAGAACTAGATGATCTTTAAGGTCCCTTCCAACCCAAACCATTGTAGGGTATTACAAACTAACTCTTTACCTTCAGTGATCTTAGCATGTTTTAATGAGCTGGAATCTACCTTTAGCTATATAAATAAGGCAAGGGTGAGCAATCCATAGCTTTGCTTAGGCATCATACTGGCAAATTATTTCAGAATCAACACATGAAACGTAAAATCTGTAACAGTCCTACCCAGTGACAGCTGAAACAAATATTGAGACAGGTGTCCACTGAAGTGTCTAAACATTTGGAATCAACTGAAGTCAGACACTGTGTTTTGTCATTGCTGGTAATTTCTGCTTATATATTTGGAAGAGTATTTTCATACAAATCTTGCAGTTAATAGGGAATTCACCCAGAGCATAATGCCCACGTTATCAAGAGGATTATCTTTCACAGTCACCTTGCTCTGCTATTGTATCATGCTGGACCTGTGAGTAGCGTCATAAGATTTTCCTCCAGGGCATTGGCACATTTCCTCTTGCTGAAGCCTGTGGCAGCAGCGCTGTTGGGGGCTCACCTACTAGAGAGCAGTTCAGCTGAGAAGGACCTGGGAGTATTGGTGGATGATGAGTTGTCTATGAACCGGCAGTGTGTCCTTGTGGCCAGGAGGGACAAGAATATCCTGGAGTGTGGCCTGCAGGTCGAGGGAGGTGATCTTTCCCTTCTACTTGACCCAGTGAGGCCACATCTGGAGTACTGTGTCCAGTGCTGGGCTCCTCAGTACAAGAAAGATAAGGAACTACCAGAAAGGGTCCCGGGGAGGGCCACAAGGATGATCAGAGGTCTGGAGCATCCCTCTTACGGGGAAAGATTGTGAGAGCTGGGTCTTCTCTAGAGAAGACTGAGATGGGATCTCATTAATGCATCTCAATATCTCAAAGGTGAGTGCCAAGATGATGGTGAGTGCCAAGACTTTTCAGTGGTACCCAGTGACAGGATGAGGAGGAATGGCCATAAACTAAAACACAGGAAGTGTCAGCTCAACATGAGGAAAAACTTCTTTACGTTGGGGGTGGCAGAGCACTGGCACAGGCTGCCCAGGGAGGTTGTGGAGTCTCCCTTTCCAGAGACCTTCAAAACCTACCTGGACATGTTTCTGTATAAGCTGTTCTGGGTGGCCCTGCCTTGGCAGGGGGGTTGAACCAGATGATCTCCAGAGGTCTCTTTCAACCCTCATGAGTCTGTGACTCTGTATATATGTGGCAATGGTTTTATGACTGGACTCTGCATGTGGTGAGTGAACACTATTATTTGGGCTTGCTGAGTTTATGCGAGGTCTTTTTGTATTATAACTTAATGTCCATATTTAACAGGTAGAAATACATGACTGCTTTTGTATCCATTTACCATACTCTAATGGGCACTCCTTTAAGCTATTTCTTACTGGGCATTACTATGATTCTACCAGATGAAATCTGCTTAGCAGTTGTAACCAAGCTCCTCTCTTCCCTCTACAATTTTATTATAACAGGTTTCAACAGCTCGAAATGGGTGACTGTAGCTTTGGATTCCTACATGGCAGCAGCATCATGGCAAATTTTTGTTCAGAGATCAGCGGATCCATCTGCATTAGTTTTCAGAGCTGTGTATCCAGCCCTTCCCCTGTACGTGGTGCTGCGGATGCTCAAGAGGCAGACGCTGACTGCTGAAGCTGAGCTCACCTGCCATGCCGTGAAAACACCCTCCTTTAAGCTGCCAGTCAGTCTTGTTGCTGACAGCTAGCCAGACACTGTACAGAAAATCAAAACAGTCTTCTCCTAGAAAGCCTGCCCTGACTGTGGAATACTTGGGTAATTGCTTCACTGTAGTAGCAATAAGGAAACTGTCCTCAGTCCTCAGTGTTAATTAATATTGTGAATGGGGTGCACACAGAGATACAACAGCTGTGAAATATGTCTTTTTGCTTTGAACTGTAACCTTTGTGTTAGCAGGTTTTAATCCAGTGAATAAACGTGAAACTGGGAGAGGAAGGGAAAATTGTTTGCCCTTTTCTCAGGTACAGGATAGTGAGAGAACAGTTTTCAAGTTGCATGTCTTTTTGCCAGTACATCATGCTTTTGTTTTCTCTGAATGTGTAGCTTTCTCAGGGGCAATGCTTTCTACTCTGCAGCACCTTAGTGGCTTCACTGGCCTTTGGTGCATCATGAGCAAATCCATCCAGTACAGCCTTTGTTATCCTTACCTGTTATACTGCAGAACAGTATAGTCATAATCATTTTGGTATTTTATTTTTTTTGAATTTTCCTTCTATTTTATTTAATGTTTGTTTTGTCAGATTGTTTCAGAGACTTTAAATCCCATAGTGAACACATTGCCTGTTAGCAATGATCTGATAACGCTGTGAACATAAATATTGAGTTTAGCCAAGCAGTCGTATTCTTGTATTTGGAATCTAAGCAGATAGGAAATGCTTTTAAGTGAGTCTGCTGTTTTTTTGAAAAGCTTTAATGATCAGGTGGTTTTTCCCTTTCTTGCATTGTTTCTTACTGGTATGTCTCATCATAGATGAGATCTCGATTTTAACGGTAAAAAAATGCAGAGAAAGTTCATTCCTGTGGAATTTCCTCGGTGTGAGGGCAGCATCTTTTGGGTCGGATTCTTTTACTGTTGCCGAACACATCGATGCTGTGCTGCTTTCCATGTGGCCAGCAGGTGGGGGAAGTGAGAAAGCTGCAGTAAGGCAAATCCAGCAGCGGCTGCATCTCCCCAGCGGGTCCTGGGACTGCTCCTCCAACGGTATGGCTGGTGGCTGCGTTGTACTTCATTAGACGTTGTAAGCAACTGGTTCTTGCATCATTCTTCCAGGGTATTCCTGTATTTCGTCCTTGAAAATACAATCTGCACTTACTTCTCTCTAGGATCTTCCTTCTGTATAAATGTAACTGCCTAAGTGAAGTAACTGAAGTATATTACAAGTAAGTGGTGGTATTTTGATAATTGCCCTGATAAGATGAGAGAGAGTAAATTATCTAAAGTAATTTCTTGGCAAGCTGAAAAGCAAATTATTAATAAGAAGCTGGGCATTTAAAAAATGTTACAATTTTTTTTTTTTTTTCCTCTGAAACGTTTTCTTTTCTAAAAATGCCTGTGGTGTTCTAGGTCTTGCAGTGGATGGAAAGGAAGGCTGGTTTTTGCCAGCTCTCCTGTTCTGGTAAGTTAGTCCTGAATTGTCCCGATACCTCCTGATAGATAAGAGAGAGATCTTGCAAACTTGTTTTCAAGGCTTCTTGGAAGCTCTAAACCTGTAATGGCCAAAAAACAAACCAGGAAAGGCTGCAAAATGATACAGATTAGTGTCTCCCGGGAGTTCTTATATGCAGAAGTGTCTTTATGGTACCATCTTTGTGAACTTTGTGAACTCTTTTCTTTTCCTGCTCTAACTGAGCAGGAAGGCACATAAGTTAGAAGTAAAATCGCCATTGCAACAGGAAAAAACAATAGGAAACTGTCCATCCCTGTATTATCAATACTGTTTACAGCCCAAATCTAAAACATAGCTCCATGCAAGATACTGTGAAGGAAATTAACTACCCCAGACAAAACCAGGACAGATATTTGTTTACTTCATGTCCTTAAGAGAATACTATAAAACTGCATGAGTAGCTAAGTACTAAACTCCAAGCGTCTCAGTAAAAATAATAGACATGCTGGTTTGCTTACAGATGCTCAGCAAGAAAGCATGTTCAGCAAGATGCTGGCTGGGCACAGCCAAAGTTACCTTGTTAAACTGTGTCTCAGGCATGTAATTGCCAGTAGCTCAACTTACTGCGTAAGAGTGCTTGTCATCTTTCTTCCTCCTTTGCCACCAGATACTTAACATCTATTTGCATGTGACACAGAGCTTGCAAAGCTGATTTGCGTGGTGTCTCAGTCACTGAAACACTCCCTGTGTTTAAATATTGATGGTTTCCTCAGGAAATATTCTTGGGATTGATATCTGGAGTTCTTTCAGTTTGTGCTACCACGGTTTGTTTGTTTCTTTGATGATACTGCTTCATATTGTGTTGCTGCTAAGGCTTTGGAATGTATCATAAAGAGATTAGGAAGCATTAATGTGATGATGAGAGTAAAAGAAAATGGGTGATGTGGATGGTGGCTACCATAAGTGAACAACCAGACAAGCAATAACAGTCCTCCTTGGCAACTGGACAAGTAACTTCCATGGACAGTAATTTAAATAAAGAGTGACTTCTGGGCAGAAATATTCTAAATTTGATAGTAATAAGAAATACTTTAAGCCAGTATAAATGACACTTGGTGGTCGTGAAAGTAAGTTCCAGTGCTGACCTGCCACATCACTGTCAACTTGGAGACAGGTCCATGGAGCCATTCTTCAGTGCCTCATGGTTGAAATCTGTCCCTTGGTCATCACTTTGACCACAAGGCAAAGGTACCTCTGCAGCTGGACAGGAAAGTGCATTGCTCCCTGCCTCATTTATTTGCAGCCAGTTTCTGGTTTATAGAAAATAGGGAAAATCACCTCTTTTCTCCTCTGGGTCCAGAAGAGGACCCTTTATTAAGGCTCTTCCAAGGCCTCGAGCTATTTTCTATTAACTTCTTTGAGATACAGGGTCAAGCCTTGATGCAGGTTCAGGTTCCTTTGAACACCTTTGCTGCCATTACTCATCCATCACAGCACTCCACCTCTGCACTTGAGTAGATTATGGGCTTAATTTTGTAAAATCCAGACGTACTTTGTAATTTTGTCAACAGGCAATCAGTTTTGGCTGTAAATACTATACTTAAATGTGTGCACATAATAGGAAATGGCTTTTTATGTGTGTTTCTTCCATAAATGATGATTGTCAATGTTTAATCAGCGATGGAACAGAATTTGGCAGCCTCACAGCATTTTGATGAATAGGGGACTGATGTTTCTGATGAAAGAAATGGGTTATGCCCCAGCTAGTTCTTTGAAGTACTTTCCTCTGTGGATTATTGTTAGACTTTTTGTAGGGTCAGGATAAGTTTGCTGGTCTTTGCACAGGAACTAGTTTCTGCCAAGCATTGTGACATCTTACAAATAGCAATGTCTACATCTGTGGATAGTAAAACAGGGAATCAGCTGTATGTTCTTGGCAGAGAAACCTATAGGCTGCATTTTGTCCTCTGAGTGGGTATTGAAGAGAAAGGGAGGTAAGATAGGTTCCCAGTAGGTGAGCACAGCCAAAGGTCTGTAAAGAGGGTGAAAAGCAGGATTGCACTTGTATTGCTTGGATCTTATGGAAAGAAATAATTACTGCCTACACTGCACAGTGCACGTCCACGGGAGTAGTTCTGGCTGCTGGCTGGCTGACACTGAAAATAGACTGCACTTTTTGTTACTGAGTATGTCAACCATTTCAGCATTTTCCCCTAACAAATGGAAGGTGTGCAGGCAGAGATGAGATCTGTGTGTGCTCAGTGCTTTTCAAGACTTTTTTTAGCATAAGTCAAACAGCTTTGAACAATTCTCCTTTGACTCATTAACTGTCAAAAGCAAATGTAGATGGAAGGCATAAAACTGTTTCTTTTGGAAGAGTATAGCTGCAATACAGTCTTCTTCCGTATAGAAGCATGCTTCACATGCAGCCAGGCTTATACATAAGTGAGCACTGACACATTACATGACATATTTATAAGACAGGGAAATATTTAAAGAACAATTTGATTGTATAAGCATGAAGAAAACATTTGAGATACCATTGTCCCATCTCCTGGTATCTCATTGGGTCTCCAGCTTCTGGCCCAGGGGAATATGGGTACTTTATCATATCTTGTGTGTGTGTGTATTGCCTGTCCTAGGATCAGTCAAATGGCATGAGATACTTATGTTTAGATTAATGAATTAAGACCATGTAGATGAAAATAGTATGAAGTTTGTTCCTAGCTGGTGGAAATGCAACCTCTAGAGACACATTAGGCCTGAAGGATACATTAAGAGTCTTAATGCACAAGGTGCTAGTTTTAGAATCCTAATCTGTAATCTTTTATAAGATGTGTATGATGGAATAAAGGTTATACCTGTTACATTTTCAGACTATGCCACATGGAAGATGCTGTGAGCATTTTGGAGTGAATGGTGGTAAATGAGTGCTTCAAATGGAGAAGGTAAGGGCTTTTCCTGGGAATTTTGACAACTGTATTAGTAACAAGAATGAATAAGTAAAGGTAGGAACCAACAAAAATGGATGAATGACTTCAGTTAAATGTGTGCTTTGCCAAGAGATGGTTAGAATCACTGTGTGTGTGAATACTTCAGGTCAGAAACAGGATTAATACATGTTCAGTGCTAAAACATATTATATAGTTAGGTTTATAATACACAATCCAGTAGTATGTATATTATGAAAGGGGAAATTAAACCTTAAAATCTTTGATTTTGGGCTTTGGTATATAGCGAGTCGCAGGGTAGCTGTTATAGTCAGCAATATATATGGCAATGCTGTGCTACCTGTTGGATTAGTTTGATGCAGAACTGAGTTTGTAGCTAGAGAGAACAGTCCCTGGCTGGCAGGAGGCAGTTCCTGGAGGAAGAATGAAAGGGAGAGGCACAATTATAATTCGAAAGTATCTTGACTAATTGCATAAGTGATTTGAAATCAGTGAGATGAAATCCAGTAATTTCAAGTGCTAAATACATGGGGAGAGATGTGTGTTTGTAGGCAGGGAGGGGGCATTATTAATACAACAGGGGGAATGATTGTAATACCCTTACCATGACTGGGTGATGGTATTATAATGGGTCACAAACTGAACAGGGATCAATGGTGTCTTCTGTAAAAGAGGGATAAATCTAATTCTGGGATTTTTGAATGGGAAGGTGATGCATAGGGAGCAGGAAGTGAGACTGCAGGTGACGCAGAAGGTTCATTTCTATACACCATGACTTAAGAAAGATGTACATACATTAAAAGATGACTGCAGAAGATCCACAAAAATTATTAGATATTTAAAGATCAAAAGGCATGACCTGCAGGTGGTATAAATCACTTCAGACTCAGTTCCCAAAGAACTAAACTGATTCACACCAGCTGAGCAGCTGATTAAAAGAGTTATTTTTTGAATTTTCTTTCTAATCCAACCTTAACAGTGGCAATTTACATTAACTTCTCAGTGCCGTCAAGTTTTCCCCAAGGCTTACAGGGAAGAATTATTTGAGTGTCATAATTTAACTCTCTCTCTTTCCATTTTTATTTTAAACTGAGCTATAGATTTTTTTCCAGTTTCTATTTTAGCATTATTTAAAAATGAACATAGTTAAAATGGAAAAAAGGAAGTACTTTTAAATACAAGGTGCAATTAACCTCTGAACCCTACTGTTTCTTGATATAATTGCTGCCAGAAGCCTAATGGGATCAAAAAAGAGTAATAGATAATGAGAAAATCTCCTGACATATTAGAGGAGATTAGAATAAAAAAGACTTTAGGAAAAAGAAGGGAAAAAGCTACATATTTCAGGACATGACAGCCTTTTTACAGCTGAATGGAGGAAACTGCTTTCTCAGAGCGTGTTGTCTGTCTTTGAAGAATCTCCTGTAAGCCCTTGTCAGAAGCAAGGTACTGCAGCAGATGGACACAGCTCTCAACAAGTCTGGCATATGTAGTTTTTCCTAATTTGAATTCTGTGCTATATTCTGTGCTCCTGCAGCCAACCTCTTAATAATGTGTAAAGGTGACTTGAAAGGGCTATTTAGAAGAAAAGCAAAGGCAAGCTTCTTTTTTGCTGTCTGTGTATTCATGTCCGTCTGCATATTCCTGTGATATTCATCCTCATCACCATGTTGTTTCAACATGCTTTAGGTTCTTATGTGTTTAATTTTCATCAGAGGCTGGATCAGTGGAGTGAAGAAAGGTTTCTCCAAGGATTAATCTAGGAAAAGGTAGACAGCAATAAAGAAAAGCTTCAAAGGAAGAATGTGAAAGCATTGCTTGGATACGTAGGGACAAAATTACAAATGACAAAGTCCAGCTGCAACTAGAACTAGCAGAGAACACGAAAGATGGTAAGAATGGGCTCCAAAAATGTGCTAGCTACCAAAGGGAGTTTATGAAAAGATGGGAGCCTAGTGATAGACAATGAGGAGAAAACAAATTCTCATGAACTTTTCTCCTCACTGTTCTTAGGCAAGCTTGCTCCCAGGATTCTGCATGTGCTGCTGCAGCTTGGGAAGGAGATGGCAACCAACAGCAACAGGTTAGTGACTACTCAGGAAGGCTGGTTTTCTTAAAATCTGTGGAAGTGGTTGGGATTCACCTGGGGGTGCTGGTGCAGTGACTATGAGGCTGCGGTCTGTCATTATCAAACTCATGACAGTCAGTGAAGTGAGGTTGGGTATTGTTGCCCTGCATTCGTAATGGATGGCTTTCTCAGCAAGGTTTTGGCACTAGTCTGCTTGTGGCACTCCTCAACTGAGCTGATTTAATGCAGTGATTAATTTTTCATGGTTCTTTTCTTCCCCCAAGCCTACGTATTGCTCTTTGGATTTGTCAGTGACTCATTTCTAACAGCCTAACGTTATTGGAGCTATATTCTAGTGACAAGACGTGTGAGCTTTGGTTGATTTCTCCTAATATTGGGTACATCTAGGAAATGTTATGTTTTGAAGGGGGAGACTGGAATTTCAGCCTTACTGGCTCTTTACAGTGATCCTCCTTAGATCCTTCCTTCGAATTAACAGATTAACAAATGAATAGCCAAAAATGGGATGCTGAGAAGAGATTTTACTCCTGCACTTTTTAATGTGCAAGCTAAACAACAGATGTGGGGTGTTTCTGATGTAATGTGTGCCTTACAGAAGTAAGAAGCAGTTAACTGAGTTTGATTATTTGGTTGAATTAATACGTCCTGTGCACATTTTAAAAACTCACAGCTTCTCTTAACACTTACCTGGAAATCTTTTTGCAAGCCACTTGAACAACATCACAAAATCCTTTTGCATGAACTTGCAACTATTTGAGGACTATGTTCTTGCTTCTTCTAGGCTGTGTGAAAATCATGTCTGACAAAACCCTAATTTTGAGAATTGCCTCTTTCCCTGTGAGATTCAGCCAAAATAGTGTGCCTGCAATGTTTTATATTAATGGAGGATCTGGCCTAATATGTCTATTTCTGACATCCATGGTAGAGGCTGTATGTTGATCTGACTGTCATCTTTGCTTAGTGCTCTTTGGACGTAAATGCCCCAAACCAGATAAAAGAATGGGCTAAGCTGAAGAAAGTGAACTTTTTTTTTCAATTTCAAGTGTTACTTTAAAGGTTTAAAAACACTGTAAATGTCACAGTTTTTCCTTTTGTGGCCCTTAGCTCAATGGGAAAAAATCTTTAGATGGCAATGAGCTTCAAGCTGGATCCCTATTACCTTTGACTGCTTGTTCATTAAACTACAATAAGTTGGTAGAACTAAGGGCTGTAAAAGGTCTGTGACTTTCTTCTACAGATGTACTCTGTCTTGGTTTGAAGGTCTCGGTGCTTAATCACTCTTGCAGTTGAAACTTAGTCTTGTTTCCAATTTGAATTTGTTCAACTTGACCTATCTAGCGCTGCTTCTTGGTTCACCTCTGCTTGATTATAAACCCTGCTCTGACTCATCATCCATATAGGTCTCTTCTTGAGCAGGTAAGCAATAGAAGCTTGTAATTCTTTCAAGTTTCTGTCTTTTCAGTTTGGGGCATGATTTTCCAAACGTGGGTGCCAAAACCAGAAGCAACATTTCTGTTGTACTGCTATGAATAAATGCACTGATGTCTAATCTTACATTTCCCAAGTTCATATGTTGATGGAAAAGATAAGCGTTCCTTATGCCAACCTTATGAAGTTTAACCATGCCAACTGCAAGGTCCTACAGCTGGGTCAGAGCAATCCCAGGCACAGCTACAGGTTGGGCAGAGAAGAGATTCAGAGCAGCCCTGCAGAGAAGGACATGGGTGTGCTGGTCGATGAGAAAAATGAATATGAGCCGGCTTCAGTGTGCGCTTGCAGCCCAGAAAGCCAACCGTATCCTGGGCTGCATCAAAAGGAAGCATGACCAGCAGGTTGAAGGAGGTGATCCTGCCCCTTTACTCTGCTCTTGTGAGATCTCACTTGGAGTATTGTGTGCAGTTCTGGTGTCCTCAACATAAAAAGGACATGGAACTGTTGGAACAAGTCCAAAGGAGGCCATGAGGATGATCAGGGGCCTGGAGCACCTCCTGTATGAAGACAGGCTGAGAAAGTTGGGGCTGTCCAGCCTGGAGAAGAGAAGGCTGCGTGGAGACCTCATAGCAGCCTTCCAGTATCTGAAGGGGGCCTATAGGGATGCTGGGGATGGACTCTTCATCAGGGACTGTAGTGACAGGAGAAGGGGTAATGGGTTAAAACTTAAACAGGGAAAGTTTAGATTGGATATAAGGAGGAAGTTCTTTACTGTGAGGGAGGTGAGGCACTGGAATGGGTTGCCCAATGAAGCTGTGAATGCTCCATCCCTGGCAGTGTTCAAGGCCAGGTTGGACAAAGCCTTGGGTGCGATGGTTTAATGTGAGGTGTCCCTGCCCATGGCAGGGGGTTGGAACTTGATGATCTTAAGGTCCTTTCCAACCCTAACTATTCTATGATTCTATGAAATAATTGTTTATCATTTGCCCATTCTAATTCTGGATTAATTTTAAGTCACTGCCCCTTTTCTGTAGGTATGATTTGCACTTTTCTTTCCAGATGTATAATGTGAATGTGATTTTTATTAAAATATTTTGTTGGCTTGTTTCATATGCTGAATTACTCAGATCCACCTGTGCAACTTCTCTGTCTTTGCTCTTTATCATTCTGCCTGGTTTTGTCAGCTGTAACTGTTTTAAGATTGCATTAGCCTTATTTCAAAATCATTTATGAAAATGTTACATATTCCGAGGTCCAGTGCCGTCCCTGAGGAATCATATTAAAATTGTGTTCCACGGTGTTTCTCCTTTTGTGACTATTTCTAGAGATTCGTGGGCCATTTTTTAATTCACTTAATGTATGCTTTATTAATAATGTACAGCATTAATTTTTAGATCAGATTATCATGCATTTATCTGTAATTCAAATACCTTATAGAAGTCTAAATATATCCTCACAGTTATTTTTTCTAAACAAAATTCTGACCTTATCAAATAATTAAATAAGATTTGGTCAATAAAATCTGCTTCCTATAGGATCATTATCACTGGCTGTAGTTATATCCCAGCATTTATTTTTTAATTGATAGACTGAGACAGGTTTTAATTGAGAATTTGCTCATGTTAGATTAATTGGCTTGTAGTCATGCTGACTGTTCTGCTTGCCTTTCTTGAAGGTATGTGCACCAATTAGCCACCTTCTGAATTTGTCAAAATTATACAGCAGAGGCAGATCTCTCCTCAGGTAGTCATAGCACATAGTTGATGTATAAGAAAAATTTTGAATATGTCATCAAAATTTATAATTGAAAAAAGCTCCTCTGGAGAATTTTTTTTTGTCGTATGAGACCTTTTTGTTTTAAAAGTTTTCAAGAAATGAACCAAATTACTATTAGTTAATAGTTAAATCTTGCTTAAAGCCAGCTTAACCAAGGCATCTCCTCCTCTAAATGAAATACTTTTTCCTGTTTAAATAAAAACCATTAAATATAGTTTAGAGGAAATCACTGGTAAAATCAAGATGACAGAACATTTTGTCAGATTGATACAATTATTGGTTTTGTCCACATTTTTATGCATCTTTGAAGTCGAATCAACCTGCATGTAATTGACATTCAAAGCATGTGTCCTTGATTCAAGGATAGATTGAGCATCTGGTAAGAGCAGCAACCTCAGTCTTTGTATTGGCACAAAAACCTGAATCTACTTTAACCAAAAAGGGGCAGTGACAATCAACAGCTTATGACTGACAGCTAAAGAGACAGCAGGGAGAAATTCAAAACTGAGATCTTCTGAGGCATCATCAGAAGTGGTGGAGAAGCAGTCTGGAACTAAGGGGGAATGGCCAGTCCCCCGAGATGACAGGACTCGAGCTGCAGCTGTCACACAGGTGGAGGAGAAATTATCTAAGCCAAGAGATTCAGTGCTTTCTCAAGGAATAAAAAGCACCAAAAGGAAACCTTTAAAATAAACAAAATACTAAAAAAGGCAAAGCAACTGCATGGCAGAAGCATGTGCTGGCAAGATGAACCCAGATCTCTTGCAGATCTGGGAAGGGAAAATGAAAACTATGAGTAGACTATAAAACCACAGGCTGAATTGGCGTTTTGGAGAAAAGAAGGCTCAGGGAGGACCTTATCACTCTCTACAGCTACCTGAAAGGAGGTTGTAGTGAGGCGGGGGTCAGTTTCTTCTCCCAAGTGACAAGTAATAGGACAAGAGGAAATGGCCTTACACTGCACCACAGGAGGTTTAGATTGGATATTAGGAAAACTGTCTTCATAGGTGGTGAGGCATTGGAACAGGCTGCTCAGGGAAGTGGTGGAGTCACCATCCCTGGAAGCGTTCAAAACTCATGTAGATGAGGCCCTCGGTGACATGGTTTAGAGCTGGTTTTGGCAGTGCTGGGGTAATGGTTGGACTTCATGATCTTAAACGCCTTTTCCAACCTGGTTGATTCTATGGTTTTATGATTTGACATTAGCACAAAATTAATCTGGCTGAAACTCTTGATGCAGGCTTCCCAGCAAAAAGAGGACCAACCAGAAGCAAGTCACCTGTGTCCATCAGCACACAAGAAAGTTCTGATGGTGGTGGGCTGTGTACCCTGAATGGCAGGGTATGGGCACAGGTGCAAAACTGTCATGCTGGCATCAGGAAATGGTGTTGTCTATGACTAGCAACCTATAGCAGCCCAACCCTAAGAAGAACCCACAGCAGAGTAGGAAAGATCGAAGTCAGTGCTATGCAGTACCACCTATCTTCTATGTTGTTATGTTATCCCAAGAAGCAGGCAGATATATTTCTGTATGCTAAATTACAATGTTTGTTTTCTCATTAGTAATGCAGGACCACAGTTTTTGAAGTATGTTGACACTTAATTCTTTTGTAAATTGAGGGGCTTATGAACAAATTTGGCTGTCTAGATACCTTTAAAAATCTGTTCTTTCAGCTAAAATTTATTGACGTGGACAAGCCCATTTCTGTTTACTTCAACAAACTTTGAATTAGGAGTTTGCTTGACTATTTTAGTGATTTTAGCATTTCAGTCAAATCACAAAACCACTCTTTTATTCTGTTCAGTGCTTAAGGTAATTTGGTGACAGATAACACCACAATTTCAGAACTGACACATACCTACTCCTTC